CCGGAAATGTCAGGAAATTATTTTTCAAAAAACGCCTTTACATTCACCTCAAAAAGAAGTTCGAAATTTATCATATAAGTCACATATTAAAGAATATAAATGTAACTCTGATTTTTCTTCTGCGATTTATGCATGAACAGATGATGTACAGAGTCAAATAAACCTTAGATTGACTATTGTTATCCTATAATGAAACTGGCCTGGACATCGTTAACTAATGGTGAATAATACGGCGATCATTCCAGCGGCCACAGTGAAGCCTAATGATCGTCCGCTCTCGACAGCATCGGTGGCAGTGAGAGTCGCCCGACGACAGTCTGCGAGCAAGCATTATTAATGTCTGCCTGCTGGAGGCTCTCGTGGTAACACTCTCTTTTTAGTCCTAGTTCTTCCCGAGTGCAGATTCAATGCAGAACAAACATCAACAACAAATAAAGTGCATATTTAAAAAGTGGACACAATTAACTGTAGTAGGCATATATTTGTGCTGCATAATTTCGGTTTTGGATACGTTCTCACATTGTCAAAATGAATGACAATTTTATAATAAAAAAAAAAAAATCGTGCCACAGCCATTCAGCTACTCAATTAAATAGACAAGTGATTTATGTAGCAAACTAAATGTGTAACAGAACGCTCGTAGTCAAATGAAACAGATCAATGTAGCGACACACCATATTTATTACTTTCTAGGTTGAGAGGCAAATTATAGCAGCGAAGAGCATACCGCTGCTCCACATATATACGCGCGCCGCGGAAGTTTATTGCGCTTGGGCCGGAATGTTGCGTATACCGCACGTCTGTTGTGAGTGTACAAGCGCGGTGAGCGGAGTGTGCTCTATGTAGGTCGGAAGACGACTCCTAAAAGAAAGGAAACCTAAAATGCGGAACACCACGTGCCGACTATGCCGGTAATGTAGGCCGGGTTTACAGGTGCGAACTGCAGCTGAACTGCATATTTATGCAGAAAAATAATATAATTGAAATGTGAAACGCGCGCGGGAATGAAAACACGGACAAAATACTTTTTCTTCCAGCACTACACTCAAGGAACGTTGACATTATATCTTCAATGCAGATGGATAATTATTCCATAAAAATATTTTCAGTATTCAAAAAAATATTGGCTTTATCTTTTCAATTAAGTTGTTTGTGTTATTCTAAATACTTAGAATTCATCCAGATTTTGATAAGTCGGTCAGTTATTAAATCTAAGGAGCCTCATAACAATCATACGCACCGTTCATGTACACCTGGCTTAGGCTGGCTAAGTGCATTCCTTGACATGTGTTGCTATTTGTGCTTTAATGTCGATATAAATGTTGAACCGTTAGCTTACGTCAAGAATAGTTGACAGATCGCTAATCCACGTCTTATAGCCTAAAAAATAGTGGACTAGCCTAATACAAATCATTAAACTACGAGCCTGCGTCAAGAATGGATGTTAATTAGTGATTCCAAATCATTATGCATTAGCGTGCATCATTGATAGCTGAAAACTCGCTGATCCTTAAAAGATTAGTGAAGCGATCATTTTAAATGCAAGAGTCATTCAATACCTGCATGGTCTCATATCTCAATCTCATATGAGGGAGCGACACAAAACAAATATTCAGAAACGATCGAGTGATGCAGGAAATTTCATATTAATTTTGTTATTCTCCTTTCTATAATCCACATAATTTTGTTCATTAACTAAATTGTTAAATTTCATGATGCATCTCATGAACGATGTTTGATATTATGTTAGTAAAGTTTAAATAATGTATTGCAAATTCTGGATTTACTTTTCATATAATGCGTCTTGCTTTGTGTGAGTAATTCTATTCGGACAGCTTAGGAGTGTGTTCTCACAATTATATACATGGACAGTCTAATGGGAAGCCACGTATATAATTGTGAGTATATATTTATGAGTATATAACAGTGATCATATAACTATATGTATATAATTATGAGTATTTAACTATAAATATATTATTCTGAGTACAATTGTGAGTATATAACTATAGGTATATAATTGTTAGTATATAATTCTAAGTATATAATTGCAGGTATATAACTATAAGTATATAATTGACGGTATATAATTATAAGTATATAAATGTGAGTATATAACTATAGTTACTGTATATAATATTGAGGTTATAATTGTATGCATATAACTATAGGTATGTAACTATGAGTATATAATTGTGAGTATATAAGTATAAATATATCATTGTGAGTATATAACTATAAGTATATAATTGCAGGTATATAACTATAAGTATATAATTGTGAGTTCCTTATAGGACAGCCAAATAGTTCGTCAGTCTCACGGACAAGGTCAAGTAAGCCGGAGGTACGCACGAGCGGCCGGGAAAGCGACGCTCACAACGTCTGCTTTCTTCTCAGCTTACGACCAACAATGCGGCAGTTTCTCTGGAGAATTGGTGCTTCTTACGTGATGTAAGCATCTGGAACCATTGACGACTCACATCTGACTTCCAGGCTTAAAAAATTATCGTCCACCAGTCATTGCCTAACCCAGTTTTGTAAATAATCTCCATGTTCTTTAACTTAATTTTAAGGTCGCGGTCGTAGTGTAGAAATTATACGTAGTGTAGAATTATACGTAGTCATTATACGAATTAATTCCGAATAACGTTGAGTAAAATGCACGAAAAAAGTCTAAGTATCTAACCAATACGAATGATATCTGTGTATCCGTCCAACGTAAAGAGGCGTTGTAACAAATGTAACAAATTATTAGAGACGCAATCACCTCCTGTTCAGCGGCTGTCGAAAATTTATTTGTTGGCCAATGCGTATTTGTAGCAACAATGAACTAAATTATATTTAGTTCTTTTTTACTTTTTGTTCAAAGGAGAAGCATTCGTCCTTAACAGCAGTCAAGCTTATAATCCTCTGTCTAGGGCACTGCCGTCAAGGGTCAGCATACAGAAAATACGATAACCGAAGTGAGAATTCTAAATAACCATTTTAGAAAAAGGATTTCAAACCTTCAGGCAAGACTACTTATTTGAAGATCATGCGACAAGCCTAGTTCCTGACATACCCTCAGCCGATTGCCTGCCCGAGGGTCGCGACCTAATACCACGACCTAGAGACACCGCGGGAAGGAATGAGAAGAAAGGAAAGAATTTGGCCTCCCTAACCTACGACGACTACTACACACAATGATGAAGACAGGAGTCATGAGGTTTCTGTTGTGCGCGCAATGATTGCAATTGCTAGCGACGTTCTCTTGGGGCGCGAAATCTTGAGCGGGAAAAATAAATAAGGTTTCCGACAGTGCGCCTGATGGCGGAAGAGAAAATCGGGTTCTGTGCGCTTACTCTTCATAAATTAGTACACTGGCGTAATTTAAATTATTTAAATATTAAAAAACGAACCTTATACTGAAATTTCTTGTGGAGGAGATAGATATTTTATTCGAGAGTCTTTATTACAAGTTCAAATACTTTCCTGGACTTTTTGAACCATTGCACATTCACATCCTAGATTTATTCGAACAAATTTTCCTCCTTCCTATACTTTGAATCTCCTTCACACCGGGCAACCAAAAGTTGTCTCCATGTGCAGTATGCACATGCAATTGATTCAAATACCATGGTTTTAATAAAGTGCTTTTAATTGCGCGGAGTGGGCTTCATTTGCTTCCAGTTCCTTCCCTTACAATATATGTCAATTTCATCGCGTATTCTTTCCAGCTCAGATGCCACAGCAAAAATTGAAGGCAGGTTTTTTTTCGGTGAGGCCAAGTTTTTCGAACGCATACTTCAATGTTCAACAGCGAACATTTTGAACACATGGGACGGAAGATAGGGTAAAATTCGTCTCGCCGTGAGGCCAAATAAGATTTAAAATTTTGTCGTTTTGATATATATACATAGGTAGGATTTAATCTTTTAAAATCCATCAAAGGGCCGCTATTCCGTATTTGTGCTCGATGTGATATGCTCGATAGAAATAACTCTCGTTAACTCTTAACGGTCGCCATCAGATAATTATAAGAATCTATTAATCGATACATACCTCAATCCCATATATATATATATATTTTTTTTTTACTTTTGACAATATTATCACATACCTCAATTCCATATATTTATTTTTATTTTTGATAATATTATTGTTATTAGGATTATTAAACGGAACAGGGCTTGCAGCAACGCCGACTGCCAATGAGTTGTTTGCGAGCGATATGCACTCGCATGATCAAATTCATTAATTTGATCGCATGATCAAATTCAAATTCAAAGTCGCATGATCAAATTCAGGGACGGCCGTAACATGGACGACCGTAACAGGGACGGCCGTAACAGGGACGGCCGTAGCAGGGACGGCCGTAGCAGGGACGGCCGTAGCAGGGACGGCCGTAGCAGGGACGGCCGTAGCAGGGACGGCCGTAGCAGGGACGTACCAGTAAGTGGGTCAGACAGACACGGCTGCGAGCAGCCTATGCTTCCGTTGGTTTAGGGTCGCTGGAGGGTCAGAGTGTGCATTGTTCATGCGTTGGCCTAATATCCTTAAAGCGAACAGTTCTGACGCCATATTGAGCTCATTAGGTGGTTATTTAAATGACGCGATGGCTAATAAAAGTGTCAGTAGTGCAATCTTCATCGTTGTACGTATAATTGTGAAATGGATTTGTGATGTATGTAAATGGATTTAAATACTTGTAGCCCAATTGTTGATTGCAAAGAACGCGCTTGCTTCGTAGTTCAGACTGATGCATTCCATAATCAAAGCGTATAATTGGTAGATTATTAGGCAATTAATAATATCTATTTTTATTTCTAGAGCTTTTTTTTCGTATAATCCTGCTGAACCACAGTGTCGAGTGAAGAAATCCACAGATCGATGGTTTGTTCAACGATAGAAGCTAATCACCTTAAATTTATCTGAAAAATTAATTAGTAAAACGTCTTTCATCTGAAATGAATTCATAAGAAATGCAAGTCTTGCGTATAAAACTAGAAGATGACACTCACGTGGACCAACAGCGAGAGGACAGTCAGTAACCCCAGCAGGCGCATTGTGCTGGTCGCCAATCTGCAAACAGAGACGAAATTATTCAAACTTGGAAGTTTCGTTGCGTTTATCAGAAAATTATAACTAAGATAAGACGAATAAACTAACAAAAGTCGTAGGAAATAAATTAATTGTGAAAGTAAAGGCCCTCAAAAAATGAAAAAGTAATCACTACTGGAGAAATTACTTAGAAATGTGATTGGTTTTTATGACATTCTATTTAATTCGAACTTCAAACGGACGTAAAAGTTGAAAACTATAGCCTTTATTTTCATTTTTCATTTCACACTACCCTTCTTAGGATTAAATGCATGGAATTTGAAATACGAATCATATGTTTACATGATAACGTTTTTTTCTTTCTCATTTTACTCCTAACGAAGACAAGGAGAATTTTTTCCCTAACTTTCAATGCCTCGAAGGAAAAATCGTGGTCAACATTTCTTGAGTGAACATGTTTAATTATTTATCCCATAACTCAATGCGAAAAAGCAACTCTCTTCGTCGACTGCAAATTGGCCTAAATTCTGCAATGTTAAGATATTCGGTAACACTCCCCAGCTATAGTTCACAGTTGCTCGTCTGCTTTTTACGACGCTCAGGAAAAACGGAGTTAAAATATTTGATTACAGCAGCTTGCTCTTCTCACATGTCCTACATAATTCAGGTACTATTAATTTCACCACTGTTATTTAGACTATCTTCATTAAACACAGTGAATAGTACTTTTTTAAGCAACAAATCTACAATTATATGCTCAAATTTATCAAGATGATATAAATGTAATAGAATTATGCAACATAATTCATGTATCAGCTACTGATGTCGGGTCAAGTGAGGATGTTGTTTCTGCTGAAATTAATGAACCTTCCGTTCGTGCTGATAAGCATGAAAAAGGCAAATGATCGCTTTCGGCATTGGTCTAGGAAGTGTCTTTCTTTTATTTAAATTTAACATATGTTTATTCAATAAATTTGTAAAGTTTTTACATTGCTTGCCCCCCCTGTAACTCGTGTCAATCAATTTAAAACTAGATATCCGAAATTAATGATCGAGTTTTTACTCGAATCTGTCATATTCAAAGAAGCATTAAATAGTAAAGCAAAACATTTTATTGAGGCTGAGTCTCTGGATAAATTTTTGTTTCGAGACATTTAATAAACGAAATTGGGAACGACTGATATCGAAGATGTTTTCCCCATTTCAGAGGGGTCACGTTTCAAGCTGCATAGGATTTTCATCCTTAGTTTAAAATGAACCTTATTTCTATCTATTGCATCTACATATAAAAGTTCAGTCATAAAACATACGCAGGTTTACGTTTTTGTATCACTACCATGTGACATGTAAGCTATGTACTATAGCTATACCATGCTGGTAGCAGTGGAAAAGTGTCAGCTTTTAAACCGCTGGTATATGAGGTCACATCCAAATAACCTGCTCGAGGCGAACGTCTAGTGCACTGGATAACCTTGGATAATATATGTATATATTAAGCCAAACACAAGTGAGTGTGTTTACATATTAATATTGTTGACATTCTCGTGTTTTTTGTAGCCTTTTTCTACATGAACAAGAGTTCAACATTAAGCCTCCACAACAACATGAAAGCGAGTACAAAATGAAGCCTTGCACATGGATCATGTCGCACCATGCTTCATGTTATGTTTCATGTTGAAACACGGATGAAAAATATTAAATGAGTGTGAGAACTGAAAGCCTTGGTGATGGACTTAAATAGGAAGAAATTAGGTCCGATTGTCAAGCCCAGATGAATTTCTCCGTTCATAAAACGCCTTTGAACATCTTATTTATAAATTGTGGTAAAATAATGGACCTTTACGTTGTGCATGTAGTTATTGCGAAGTTACCATGAAACCAGGGCAAGAAGTTTAGAATAGTTAGTTTAGAAGAAGTTTAGAATTATACTTTTTTGTGCACATGCAGGTGCGGACTCATTCGACAAGAGTCACAAGACCAAAGAAGCCGAAAGCTACAGGGGAAAGTAATTGATGGAAATGACTGTACACGATGGATTTGTGCTATGTCATCTCGCTTGAGAACGCCTGCTTCCGAAGTCAGGAAGGGCATTTAGGGAAAGACTAAAACACAGGTAAACCTTAATTCCGAGCAGGATAGGGAACTTTTATACAATTCGTTTCTCAGAGCGTAAAAATTTTTTATTTTATATTTCAGGAGGAAATATGAAACATTAGAAAACAGTTACCCTTACCCGATAAAAATAGTAGTGAAAAACTGGCTTATTTTGTTAGGAAATACTGATAATTGAACAAAATAAAAATACCGTTAATAACTGAACGAATATAAACACTCGCACATTGTCAGGGTAGCGAAAACGCAAATCAAAATTGAAATATGTATATAGAAAGTGCTCAGTTCAGAATGGATCATTACTTGAGATTAGTTCAAGTTCCCGCTATAAAATATTGATCACTTCACATTAATCGAGAATAACACACATGAGTCAGACTCAGGGAAATATTAGTTCATTATAATTCTTCCTAAAATCACAGTTTACATTTTTCATGCTTTAACATTATATTCAAAATCTTTATTTACTGTTGATATTTTCAGCTTACAATTCTCTACCTAAGGTCCCATTTCGTCATAACCTGAACATTCCAGTATGAGTTCAAGCGCAAATTTGAAGCTCGAGAAATTTCCATGCAATTTTCATTATACGTAACTACGTAAGCAAAGAGACGACTCATATGTGACCGCGAAATGCATATTAAAGCAAATAATGAGGCGCCTCCGTTTCTTGTGACATTGTAACAAAATTTTTTCTCTCGATTTCAAATTCAGAAAGTTATTGATAGGGGAAATATAGCATCAGAACTTTTCCAAACTTGACGACGAAAACATGCGATTAAATTACGATTTATTCGTGTCGAGTATCACGCGTCGCACGACCCAGTTCTCCCGATTATTGTGTGTAAGTCGTGTACAATGCACGTCGTTACGATATGTAAGATTACGTAGAAACATTTCTGTCTAATCAAAAGCTTCAATAGAGGCAGCTTTATATGGGAAAACGTTTCCATTGAAATTGAGAATAGGCTTCAGTTTCAAGCTGCGACGTGGAAACGGCTACCAAACTTAAATACGTTGACACACTTCCCTCTGCTGGTCACACCTCTTCCTAACACTTCTTGTTCCTCTTTGGCACTTCCACTTCTTGTACTTCATTTCTACTTCCTTTGGAGCCCTTTTTTATCCTCCAACGCTTCCACTTCCTCAGTAGCGTTTCTACTTTTAACTGCAATTTAAAATACTGACTTTATTATAGGATTCGTTAACCTATAATTTCCTCAACATAAATGTTTACTATTTTTACTAATCATTATATCACCACGTATGGCGATGGTCAGCTATCACAACTTTTTTTTCGCCAATAACGTAAGAATAGACGTTTAAAAATGCCTATTTCGAGGCAAATAAACATTTGTTCATTCAATCTCTGTCATTACAACAACGATTTTCATACAAATACGGAAAATTATTAGTTTTGGGTCGCTGAGTAGTTAGGATCACTAAGATTTAAGCAGCGAGCTGGCGGTTCAAAGACGAAAATTCTGGCCTAAATCAACCATATCATCGGGTGGTGAGAAATCGGTGACTGTCCAAATTGTTTTAATATAATAATAATCAAATCTGACGTTACCAAATTGTTTTACTAACACAGCAATCAAAGCTGACGGTACCAGAATGTTTTAATACAATTTAAATCGAAGTTGACGGTACCAGATAGTTTTGATGTAATAATAATCAAAGCTGACAAAACCACATTTTTTAATATAATAATAATAACAACTGTCGATACCAGATTGCTTTAATATAATAATAATCAATGATGACACCAACATATAGACCACGACCCTGTTGCTTGCTGCTCACCGCGCGCCGTTACTCCGCGTCCGAAATTTGCGCGGCGGGCGTCGTATGGCGATGACCGCAGCGTCGCGTGCCGGCCGAAGGACGCCTGATTTCTGAACCAGGCTCGCTGAATGCCGGTAACAATCTAGAGCAATGCACTGGACAATTGCTTCACGTTTTACGAGCTCGAACTTCATAAAAATTCTTGTTTACAAATTCTGATTGATGAATTGTCTTTTAATCTCGAACGATGCTTGGATTCTTGATTTGGTTCACGTTTGACGAGCTCGAAGTTCATAAAAATTCTTCTTTGCAAATTCTGATTGAAGAATTGTCTTCTAATCCAGAACGATGATTAAACTTTTCCAAATTTCAATGGAATTCGTCGTTGTTGGAACAAAGAATTACTACCTGCATATAGCTATGTAAAATTTACCGGGTACGAAATGCTCCGTAATGCTGACATAAGCAATTTTCATGCATGATGATGGGTGAGACTAGATAAAAGTTACTACGATAAGCCGAAATCTTTCGAAAATATATTTTCTAAGAAGGTGAAAAAAAATCACCCTGAAATAACTTTTTCCACAATCCAAAATGGACACAAACTACGCACATAAAATGCAAGTGGTCCAATCCAACGACAACGTGGCAATCATTCTTAAAATTTCTTCCAAAATAAAAATAAATTACGTCAAGATCAAGAAATACTATTTGCCATTATTGCATTTTATTTCTTGCAATTTCATCATCAGTTGATAGGCCTAATTAAAAGGATTATGTACGAGATCGCTTATGTTTTGGCCGCTTCTTTTACTTGAACTGTTCGTGACAAAGCTAATAATAATAACAGTTCAGCTTCTACATCACATAATTCATAACAGTCACTTTGAATTTGAAAAATTACCTCGATTTTTTTCAAATAAAACAGACGACAGATGTTGTTATGTTGAAAAATACTCATTTTTTTATCCTGAACCATCGCGGTGCTATCGAACTATTATTATTCAATTATCATAAAAAAAATCCATGACATTCAAGCCAAATGGAAAGATTTACCAGTGCCGTTCTCTTCCATTCGAGTTGAAGACATACCTTTTAATATTACCTTTCATGAGTATTTAGAATCGAAATTATTGATTCGGAAATATCATTTAATAATGAAAATAAAATAATAATTTAATAATGATATTTAATAATGAAAATAAATTTACAGTGCCCACAGATGTCTAGTCGGACCCAATAATTATTTATTCAAAATAAGTGATATGAACTAATTATGAAAATCAAATACAACTTTCTCATCACCATTTCAGTCTCGCTGATCGTTACAACATGTGTGATAAAGGAACCGGAACGAACCGAATGAGGCAGAGAGGAACTAGAAGACGAGATTGTTTTCTGTGTGAGAATGATTTGAACGTCAGTGTCACCCCGCCTGGCTATAGCTAACGATTAGCTAACTTAGTTATGCTGCTTTATGTTTGGAAATACTGAGGAGAATATGTTAAAGCATATCTTTATCAGATTATTAGTAAAATATGTAATATCGTTGCTGCTGTGGTCACAGCTAGTGATTGCTTTATCATTTAACAGCCAAGCAGCGAGAGAGAAAACTTAAGTTGGATGAAGAAGGGAAACATTTGTAAAATTTTTATTCACAGACATGCAATCACTAATATTCTATCGTTATACTGCAATGTAAATTTGAGATCTAGTCGGACAAATTTGATTTGTTCTTAGATTGGTTCCCGTATGTGAAACTAAATTATTTTATAAATACAATAACATGTTCACGACTCTCGAAGTATTTTAACGGCATGTTCATGAGCATTCGAAGTATTCTAACGGCATGTTCACGAGCATTCGAAGTATGAATCGTACACAAGATTCATTGTTTAACATGAAAATGTGCGAACGGAAAAGACCACTGAACTTTCAAATTAGATTCAAATAAATACTCAATTGTTATTAGAGTCAAAGAGATACGTAATTGTTAAACATCTTCACCACAGATTAATTATCGATTTAAATGTTTTATAGGAAACATGGAGTGAAATTTACAAGGCGGCTAACAGTTTGATGTGAAATTACGAATTGTTTTTGGAACTTACATACATTTTTAAAATGAAATTTTTTAAATTGAATTCAAATTTGAAACTGATTCTATTATAGCGTCAACTGAGTACTCCTTTATTCCTTCATTCTGGTCATACGACAAAAAATATATAAATAAATATGCTTATTTATATATAGATTAGTTATTGGTATAAAATCGTATATTAAACTCATTAAACTGTCAAATTCTCAAGGCCTATGAATAATTTTTACAGCAGGATCAAGACATTTACTCAGCTATTAGCGGATCTTGATAGGCTCACCCGTTGCCAATTACCATGCACATCCAGCAACACTTCACAAAACATCAAACCCACCCTGGTCAACGTGCGACAACTAAGCTCCACTGATGTCGAGAGCAAATCACAACACGTGCACGCGACACAGAATCTCTTCACTCAATGAACTGATGTTCGCACTAACACGTCGAGAACCGCGTGGGGGCGGAGCGTCGCGTGACGTCATCGTCAGGTGGCACTGGCACCTCGGGAACTTCATTGGCTGCCGCGTCGGTGACGTTGCGCTAGCTAGGCCACAGTGAATATTGTGTAAATTTCTTGCTTTTCTCATGTTTATATGATAATTTGTGCTGTTGTGTGAGAAATGATATATACCTGTACCGTGAAACACTGGGAATTACCTCGGGAAATCATTTATTCTTTAATTAAGGTAAATGTACATAAATTACGAACAATAGTTTCCGTAATGGTGCAATATCCCTACATTAAATACATTCTATTTTCAAAATATATATTTTATCAGTAATTAGTGAATTATTTAATTACAAATCGATGATAACAATCCATGATCTTCAAAACACCGTCTACTGATTGGCCAAGAAGCTAGAAAAACGTCACAACTTTCTCTGGCCGCAGCAGCAGCAGGAAGAAGGCCCAGCGCAGGCCGCAGCTGCGCGTTCGTAACCTGCATTCCGCGGCGTTTCATTCATGAACTTTTTTGAGCTTCGCTCATAAGCAGAACAAGGCTTTCCAGGCCAGCGATGGTCGGTGAGTTGTATGCGGGAAGGCAGCGCAGGCATCGCCCACTAGCTGTCACGTCAAACAATGCGGAAAACAAGCAGCTTGCGAAGGATTATATGTTATTGTTCTATTGAGAGTAATATCGCCTATGTCGTCTGTGAAGCTTTTTAGCTTATGTAGACATTCACAAGGAAGCATTTAGTATTTTTTTTTATTTTCGATGGTCTCTTGTTATGTATATTTTTGTGTGCTCCTCTGTGAATAACGAATAAAGAATAAAGATTGTTTTGCGTCTTCGCTATACGGAGCATTGCTCCTTTAACGTTCTCAATGAATTATTAGCTAGTAAGGAACAATCGTATATATTTTTAATTGGCTTAATGGTAATTTTAATAATGGATATAGGGAATTCTTTAATAATTTTTAAGAATATCAGGCGATAATTAACTATATAAAAATATATATCTAATACCATATCACGTTGAGATTTGCCTAATTTTAAGGCCGAACTTAGTACTTACGAATAGTGTGCTTTTTGTGAAGCGTTTAAAAATCCTATATTCGTCCATTTTTTTAATTACCAAGTAATCTCACTAGAACAAATAAAAATAATTTTTCTTTTAATATCATTAATTTTGGAAAAAAACCTTCTGAAATTATTACCTATAAAAATGACAATTTCTTTTGAAAGTTGAACCCTATTCGGCTCCTCAAGATAACGTGGGTCACACAAACTTCGAGGATTAATAGAAATGAATATAAATCTTTTTCTATGCTTTGAAAATTTTGTGAAGGTCTGTGTCAATTATACAGATGAGTAGTAACCATTTCCAGCTAAAATGCAAACTGATTAGTAATATTTTTCTTCAAATTCAGAGGTTTTTAGATCAACTCTGTCTATTTTCACCATTTAAAAGTATATATATTCATATCCTGATGATTTTTTATTAGCAGCATTCCCGTAGTCTCTCAAAGAAAATTCCTTAGCTGCAGAATTATAAAAAATTAGTATTAATTATTATTTATATTTTTTAGCTTTTACAACTATTCTATTCAAATATATATGTTCGACTATAAGCTCAAAATTAATGTTGATGTGTGGATGTCTATATTGAATATTCCAACTTTAAAGTTCCACTTGTTTAATAAGTTGAAGTCCAGAGCAAAAAAAAAATTTTCTTCTGTTTCTGTTCTAAATTTACCAAAGTAATGTTCGTGAAGTTTGAGTATTATCGTATAATTTATACGTATAGAATACGTTACGTGTCGTATATCTTATACGTATGTATAGAATACTTTATGTATTGATTATATCGACAAAACGGAATTAATATGTTCTATTCAGTTTTAGCACTTTCATAATGCATAATATTACATTATTTAAAATATATTTATAGAATGCATTAATATATCGAATTTGCAGCTCTATTTCAATCCAATTCCTTGATATTCACTCGTTTTAGTGGAGCAGCTCGAGAAGCAGCAGTCGATCTTTAGCTGGGGCAACAGGTCTGACTTTTATCAATATGGCAAATGGATGCATTAGTAATACGCTTCTACATTTACTTGGAATTAATATTTTACTTCCTGCCACTAACTTTAACATCAGTTAAATGTGCTTGTACAAATTTGGCTTCGATATTGTTCGAAATGTAAGAGTGTTATGCTGAACTATGATTGAATAAACAAAGTGGAAAAAAAAATTTTGCACGCCAGATGAAGTTCCCCTTGCATTTTATGGCGACATTCCTTATGTTTGCCGTCAGGTACTGCAAGATTTTGGTCGCTAATCCTAGTGTGAGCAGGACCTGTAGCCCGACTTTCTCACACCGAACTTTCCAATTGTTCCGAAAGCTGTCCCCCAGAGAGGTAACTTCGGCCTCAAAGGCATGTGCTTCCCTAATTCCCTTATCTGATATTTCCTCTCAATTGATGAAACTTTATTAAGATAACGTTTCACAAAATTTTCATTTAATTAAAAAATATTATTTCATTGTTGATATTTTGAACGAAAATCAAATAAAAGAGTTTAATTCGTTAATTTAATTTTTAATAATAAAATTTACTTAATTTTTCTAAATAATTGAAGCATTTAAAACGATTTGTAGCTAAACTAAACGCAAATGAACTGAGTCGTTGCATATAGCGTACTGCCATTTATTTGTAGCTAGAGACAATTATAATATCAAAATATTCCCGACAAATTAATGACAAAATTGTATTAACATAGATTCTGTCACAATTAACATAAGGAGCGATTTTAAAAAAGTTGCAATCAAAGTTGACCTTATACTGAATTAATAGGTAAATAAAAAGATTGTATATCCTAAGTGATAGTGTTTATAATTCATTAAAATATGTTCTTGTTCAATTGTCTGCGTCCCGTTAGCCTGTTATATTTTACTTGTAAGTATTAAATCTATTTTTGATGAAAGTTTATAACATTTATAACTCTTTATAACTGAAACTTTTTTCTATTATTGGTCTGTAAAATTGCAATTATTCTCCTACGCACGATCGCATACCAGCAGCGCAGTATGCAGGTTTACGCGTGCCGCAGCAGATGATGTTACTTTCATCTTGCTGACACTTTAGGTTAGCCTTCACCGATAAGAACTTTCCTTCATTATATAATTTAATGGCATTGTCAAATTCAGAGATTATGCCATTACAATTGCCGACTTCGGTGAAATTGCCGATTTACTGGATGACTAATGAAAACTAACAATAGCTCCTCGATTATCTCTGAAATAGTAGGTTGATTTATTGGATGACAAATGAAAACTAACAATAGCTCTTCGACTAGGTACGAAATATTAAGTTGAATTAAAACTCCGTCAGCAAATTATTTGTCGTCGTAATAATTAAGATCAATGAGAGAGAGTCTACCTATAAATAAGGAGAGCGAACTGCTCGAATTTAAAACATTTAAGTGAACTTTAGAATATATTTAGGAGAAAGTTTTCACAAATCTTGCGTGCATCTACGCAGAAATTGAACAGTAGAAGCAATCAAAATTATAACCTTTTGAATCAACTTTCTACACGACAGCAGTCATGAAGCTGTCGTATATCGCACAAGCCAAATGCTAAATATCTTGCTCGGTGACACGCTGGAAGTGGAAGTTGAACTTGCTATCTTTTCCAAGATTGTTCGGTCCTGCGACCGTGGTCGTCTTATCAGCTCGTCAGTTACTACAACTTTTTAAAAGACACACTTTCACCCTCTGCTAGAGCTCCTTTCTCAAATGAATCTTCATTGCTGACCAATGAGCGAGTTTTTTTATTGAAATAAACGGGAACGGTCAAACCTGAGCGAGTCCCTTCACCAAATTTACAGTCGATGTTTTTAACTTAGTTACGCAAAAATGAAAATGAGAATGTTGAGTATCAGCAGACATAAAATCATATTTTATCTAAATATTCCAGGGATTAAATGAAAACTTGAATAGGATAGTCGTCATATAGATCATAAATGATCAAATTAATTCCCTAATGATGCTATAGTTCATAACCTAACGCACAATCCTAAAGATAGTGCCTAACTTATTGTGATGAACAAAGGCAAGTAAATTAAAACAATAACAAAATTATAACACTGGAAACTCATTCAAATGAAACTGAAAACACATCTGGAGGATGAAAGCCGGACAGTGTGCACGTGAAGAATCAGCACGATGCGTGAAGTGCAGATGACAGAGGTTGAGGCATCCAATACTGTACTCGCTAGAAAAGAAATATGTCATCATTTACGCGTGTATGATAATAAAAACCCTACACTAACCTGCAGGACACGGGCTACATCTGGCCCGAAAATTTGCCTGATGTGGCCATTCATTTTGATAGGACTGAAGTTCAGACGCTGCCACGAAGTTGCTTTTTCTCAGCCATTCAAAAGCCTCACTAGCAAAATTAGGGTACCTTATCTCTGATGCTAAATAGGACTGAAGTTCAGACGCTGCCACGAAGTTGCTTTTTCTCAGCCATTCAAAAGCCTCACAAGCAAAATTAGGGTACCTTATCTCTGATGCTAAGAGCCTCTTGTGAGCTATCCCTCGCTTCCATTATCACAAGTTCTCGGAAAGCCACAGCGGGACATTAGTGCAGTAAATTTCGTAATAAAACATGACACTACAGGCTTTTTAAGCAGGGATGTTTTAAATTTAATCGTCAATTTAATCGGTTTGCTTTTAGCCTGCATGGCATCTGCACCGATATATACGGGCTGCTCGGATGCATATATCCACGATACTTATCGTGTTGGGATTATACCGGATACGAAATTTACTTTTTTGTAGGAGAAAAAAAATAAGGATTGAAGGAAACGACAAGATCAAAATGTTAATTTAATTTCACACTTGGCATATATAAAATTAGTTTAAAATATGCAAAATAAGAATATTCGAATT